ATCAAATGGCCTGCTCTGATGATGATGCAAACTCTTTCAGGATTGCTAGTTGACTGGAACTAAAGATAAGGCTCGACTGCAATCCCCCAATGTGCTCTTTACAAAACTAGTGTTAATTTTCATCAAAGTGCTGGGCTTATTTATTATGGTGGCGAGGCGGAAGGTTTCACCGCGAGAACTTTAGACCGTTTCTATTAAAGCGCTTCTCCGGGAACAGCCTGCCCCGTTTTCTCCAAGTAATTATCAGTTTAAGCAAGGAGAAGGGGGGGGAGAAAAAAAAAAAAAAAAGACAATGCGAAGTCAATGAAGATGAATAATTGAACGCATTTTTACTTTAACGGGAATTTAGCAAACTATGTCATTTTAAACTGCGCGTCGCAAGTGGTGGCGCGGTGGCTTTACCTTCCAACACTTTTAGCTCACATACAGCCTCAGAGCTTAATCCTATTTTTGTCCAGAGTGTAGCTTTCATAACAGTATTATTCTGAAATCTTCAAATTAATCATAGCCTATATTGTAGCTTCCCAGAGCTGTAGTCAGCGTTGGTAACTCTATGTGACAGGTGTTGTAGGTAATCCTGTCTTAAAAGGCACAACAGGTAGGAATCAAACTGCAACGCAGTTGCTCTTTAAATATAGGGATGCTTGGGTCCTTCCTCAAAGTGCTGCCTGTTAGTATTTTGTTGGATAAAATAAACTTTCGGGGTAATGGCATATGAAATATTATTCAAACCCTTTGTGCTGCTCTTTTAACAAATTGCTACTTGGTGGTATTTATTTCAGGGGGGCAAGGGGGAGATGTTATTCCCTTTCTCTAAGAAACAAAGTAAAAATACAAACGAGTACGTCTGCTAGGAGGTTTTTCCATGGCACATTTCAAAGCCTACTAATGAGCAATTGCCGCAACCAAACTCCCCCCCCCCGGTTTTGTTCCCAGCGCATTAAGTCCTAATACGATGTTATTTACCCCACAGCGCTACAAGACGGGGCAACAAAACTTGTATCTCTTAGAAGGGAACTTAGCGGAGGAAAAATAGCGCTAAAGGACTGAGCGAGACCTGTAGTGAAATATTTTGACTAGTGTTTGCTGAAATTGCCGCTGAAATAGGGGTGAAGGGGGGGGGAAAAAGGGGCTTTAAAAATAAGATTTTTTCCACTAAGTGAAAACGGTCAAAATTGCAAAATCTTAGCTCGAGTCCGTGCAGTGACGGTGGTTGGCAGGTCCCTTTCATCTAGAGCTTTGCGTGCCGGAGGGTGCAGGAGAGACTGACTGTCGGCCCCGTTATTAGCAGAAGCAGAGAAAAGTTAGCCCAAGAGTTGGGCCAGGGAGCAAACAGCCCGGCAAATCTCTGCTTTGCGCTTCTCCTTGTGTCTGCTCGGGTCGTTGCTGCTGCCGTTTGCAAGACGGTTTTGTCGTGCCGGGAGTCCATTGCCCGTGCTCCTTGCTTGATTTGTATGTGTAAAATGGTAAGATTTTGGGAGGCCCCTGCTCTGAATTTGGGAGGTGCAAAGCACGTATTTTTAAGCGGGCCGAATGGAAGGATCCTTTCCCCCGAACGAGCAGAAGGGCAAACCAACAGCAGCGGAAACGCAAAGACCGCGCTGAAAACTAGCACCGAAACGCGGCGGGTCCCAACTTAAAGAAGCTTCTGCCGCAAGTGAAACCGCTCTGATTTCCAGTCATTTTGGTTAATAGATTCTGCTCTGCTGCGTACGCACCTGCGGGGCGGGAGGGGGGAAAAAAATCCTTTCCTGAGCAGCGGTGGGGG